TTTTAAACAAATTCATGTGACTATTTATCTCTAAAGCAAAGGGAGAATAACTTTCTTTTAACTCATTAAGAACGTGAAATGTAAAAACCTCATTATCAAGTGATGTTACCATAGCATCTGAAATGTTAGAAATATTACATAAACCATATGATGAATCATCTTCACTTCTAATCATGCTTTATACTTCAGATGCTTTACGAATCAAAAATATGATGAATATGATGAAAATCAGACTATATGTATACTATTTATATGAATCATTGAAAGTGCATGGTAAATTATAAAATTGGATCTTTAATATACAGGGTCGAGATGACCGTTTTGACCCCTGTGAATGATAGTCAAAATACATGTAACCTTTCCACATACTTATTAGTTCAGTTCAATACATGCACATTTTTACTCAATAAGATTGAAACAACTATGGTTGTTACTTTTTTTGTTAATTTAATATTCTTTTTATAATTGTCAAACAATGACGTTCACAGTAGCTGCCTCCAAAGCTGGATAATTTTGTTAATTCTGATCCAATTTTGAAGATTTGTTGTCTCTTTAATGTTGCTTATATCTTCCACTCATCAAATAAGGGACAAAACTATGCACACATTCTGTCATATGGCCTCAGTTCTAATAGATATGTTGCTATACTAGGATATTCTGAACCAAAAATGGATTGATGACGTCACAATTAATGCAAATTAGCTAATTTGCATAACTGAGTATTGTAACCATATAGTAAATTTAATAAGGTTTAATCAGATACCAATAACATCTCTATAGACCAAATAATTGCGAAGCTACATTGATTCAAGACTCCAAGGTAAGACGTATGTATATTATTGTCAAATAATGACATTCACGATAGCTGCCTCGAAAGTTACATAACTTTCGTAATACTGTTTCAATTTTGAATCTGTTTTCACTTTTATGTTGCTTATACCTTCCACTAATAGAATAAAGGACAAAACCTTTCAGAAATTTTGCCATACGGCCTCAGTTCTAATAGATACGTTGCTATAGTTGGAAATTCTGAACCAAAAATAGATTGATGACGTCATAATTTATGCAAATTAGATAATTTGCATTATTGAATATCAGAAATATTTTGGAAATTTAACGAGGTTCAATTTGGTACCAATATCATTTCTATAGACCAAATAATGACAGAGCTACAAATGATTTAAGATACCAAGGTAAGATGTCTAAAGATGCGTAACCATGGTAACTGAATGCCGCCATAAAAGTACTATGGGACATTAGTTGGCAATGTTAACAAATGAATTCATTAAATAGACACCCTAGGGATTACAAAAATGTATGTAACTTATTCACACCTTATGGGTGCATGGGAACCCCTTGTTCCTACTATACTATAAGGCCTTGACACTAGATAAATGACATGTAAATGAAATGTTGCACTCCACAGCACTGGAGAACATATTTCTTTGTCCCTGTTTTTTTTCATTTTGAGCCTAATTTATGAATTAATGTAAGAATAATAGGCTTCAACGATTTGTATGAAATTCATTTGTTCAGAGAATTTCAAAATATGTGGACTTTACCAGGCACAATGGCTGTATTACTATTACCTTGAAATCAAGATGGCCTGGTATATCAAAATGATTTACAGATGTGAGAAAATACCTAAATACTTTAGATAATAAAACATAGCACAAGTCGTCACCTCCCAGTAAAATTTTTACAAGGGAATGTTTTATTTGCTTGGAACTCATAATATTTGCATACGCTTTGTAGTGATCCTATAGATTAGCCTTGTTTTTTAGGTTAACATGGACTTTTTAAAGTTAAATGCAGTCTTGCGTCAAGTAAGCCTGTACTCCCCCAATTAAGGATCGGATAGGTAAGATAATGTCACACAAAGGGAGGGGGGGGGGGTAAAGGACTTAGGCTTGATTCAAAACTGCTGAAGGAAATGCCTCAAAAATTGGGATGGATCTGAAAATCAATATAATTTGACAAAAATAGATTTTTTTAAATCTGAACTATTTTTAAGAAGGGTCATTTTTTTACTGGGACTACTAAAACCTTTGAAGCGCTTACTTTTACATGAACCTATTTTAGAGAATGGATACTGAACTTCTACTTAGTTTGGTGCTACTTATTTTGGCCTGTTTGCTGTTTTAGACATTTGGCGACTACTTAATTTGGCAGACTTCCAATATTGAAATGCACATACAAATTTATGATTGAAATATACAATATTGAATCTGGTGTCTACTTAATTTGGCAGTCTTTGAACAATTTGGTGGATCCGCCAAATTAAAACAGCTGCCAAATGAAGTAGAAGTACAGAAATTTAAAACTTTAAGCCTTTAAATCTGTTTAAGATTTTGATCAATAGAGATCATGCAGATAATTACACCTTATTCATGACATCCCATGCCTATCCTGAAATCATATCTATCTAATACTACACTAACATTGAATGCTATTCAAATGTAAGATAAGTTGAGCCTGTCATTCTTATTGAATTTGTCAACTTCAAAGGCAAATGAAAGTAGGAAAATATATGTACATATACTTAGCCCTTGGAAATCACATAGTGCATCGCATGTATGTATTAATTATGCTGTATTACCAGTCTAAATTACTATATCACACCGAAATAGCCTGACAATGGTAAAGGCAGATACCGTTGGCACAAATGGCGAACATAACTGTCGTTTCAACTCTTCGATCACCTGGTCCTTGTTTCATGGGACTTTATCATCACTAATTTTGTGCATGTATTAAGCTCTTGTGATGATGTATCATATGAAATCCCAATTTAGATCAAATTGGGTCGTGAATTGCCACAATATAGCGTCTTCGATATCGTCAATGACAACGAAATCTGAATTTTAAATAATTTACCATATGCCATTGTCTTTGTAAATTATCCCAAACTTTTCCCAGACTTTACCATTGTCAGGCTATTCCGGTGTGTATATTATATGTATACATAAATCGCTGTCTTGTTTTGTCAAGCCATGCATATGGACATGCTTACAGAATTATATTAAGTCCATTGATAATTCAGGATCGATAATAATTTGTTTTCAGTTTGGATCGCAAAAAAGCTCCTTTTTGTGTATTTTATGGTGTTACAGACACTTTTAGTCCGAGATTTTACTGAGATAGAGAATTTATTCCAAAGTACATGTAGCTATAAGTTGTAGAATGGTAAGATTTTTAAATGGCAACTGTAAAACTTGTGGTTCCTTGTTTTTGAGAAATTTCTATATTGATTGATTTTTTTGACATGGCCATATGACATTATGACAGATGTAGAATTTATGAGAAAAATAATTTATTTTTAATAAAGGAGGCCCAAATATTGACCAAGGTCGAATTCACATAGGTAGTAGGTACAGACTTGTACTCCTGTTAATTAAGAGATCTAATCTCTCATACAAATTGGAAATGTGTCTGGCCAGTAAGATGTTACAACACACATCCAATATTCTAAATCAGAAAATAATCCAGTTTATTCAGATTTTAGAGGTTTGGCAGATTAATGCACAGCGACGTCTAATGGTTAAGAATGCATTTGAGCATGGTAATGTTACTTCCAGAAGTAATAAAAATAAATAAGGGAAATAAAAGCTCAAATACATACAATCTGGCTATATTTATAATAATACGCCTATTGTATCTGACATCTGACTTCTCAAGTGCCCTATTCTTAGATCAAAATTCCAGGACTACTTATCTCAAAGCTAATCTCCACAATATCTCCTTCATGGCCTGTATTCCCTCAGAAAAAAGTTTCATGTCTTTATTTTAAAATGCAAAACAGAGTCTACATGTTCAAGGATTAACATTACAAATAATTAGTTTATAAACTATGAACTGTATAGATTCAAGAATATCAGACATTTCTTTCATATGTTTAATAAAATGAATGAATTTAGGCAGGACTAGGGTAACATTTTAAATATGGGACCACAGCAATTTCTTTTGATAAAGCCAAGAAACATACTATGATACTACAGTATACACATATTAATTTAAACATGCATGAAATCAGGATATAAACAAAGGACAATTCTTCTAAAAACAGAATTAACAGTTATGGCAGTATATCTGGTTTTATGAATATTTTGAACTGTATAACCTATGTCTGTGGCATAAGGGACCAATCATCATATCTTAGAGGAGATACATGTATATCTTTTATTCCCCACCAATATTATTTTCTAAAACAACTGGAACATAAAATAAGAGTTTTATTGTCTGATAAACACCAACGTTATTTTGATCTAATGAACAGTGTTCAAAATACAAGATCTATCAGATGCAAGGTATGTTTTTTATCTCACTCAAATCTGGAAAATAGTTTTCTTTCTATATTTAATCTTACCAAATTTCAATAGTTTGATTTTGCTTCCTTAAAAGAGAGCTTCATCTATTCTCATCTAAAAAGATAAGCCTTTCCACCCCCTACCCCCTTGGGGCCCAGGAATTTTTTGGAACAAGGGTATTTTGGGGCATTATTAGGCCTTATAAGGTCTTATTTTTTAATTCTAGGCCAAATTATCAAGAAAATGGGCCTTAAATTTTGAAAGTTTGGGCTCACTTTCGGGTTACAGGGGCACAAATTTTTTTCTGCGCAAGCATGGCATTTTTTCAGACTTGAAATGTGCCCCCCCGCTTTGTGCTTAATAGTCACAGTTCTACTTCTCATATCTCTTTAATCTTGACTTTTTTGCGTGAAATTTGAAATCTATGATACCTGGAGTGTTGCAAATCTCCCAAATTCATTATAGATTTTTAGATTTAGTAAAACTCTTGAAGTTCTCATTGAGGCTTTTTTATGGTCAGAATATAAACTAGTCAAAAGCAGGTCTGTCTTAAATCATTTGCCGTACCAAACCTTGTCTCAGGTAAAATCACCAATTTAGAGTTTTCTGGAAAATAATCGAAGTCCCTCTCCCATATGCCAAAAGTTGGCTCTAGGCCCAATTAAAGTATGTTGAATCTGTAAAGTGGTTACTCACTGTCTAGTCTGGCTACTACATCATCTATTACACATTGCTTAGTGTATGAGTCTTCTATTGTGGGATCATAGTCAGTTACAAAATATGACTGAAAGTACAAAAATAAACAGTTAGCACTGCTACAAACGTTTTTTTTTTTTTTCGTTTTTTTTTTTATTAAAAATATTTATTCTCTAAAATTAAAATCAAATACATAATAACACTTGACACTTTTAATAAGTGTATCAGCGTGAAAACATTTAAATATTAACCTGAGTCAAATGGAAATGAGAAAAAAGGAACAATTTAAAAATATTTACTCAGTTAAATGAGAATAAAATTGATAACAATATATAAAATCTACATATATGTTTGTCAGTAATTCAGTTCAGAATAGGTTGATGTCATATGAATTTTAAAATTCTTTTTAAAACAGTTAATGGAAGGTAATGTTTTCAAAGAAGTTGGCAGATTATTCCAAAGCTGAGCACCTGAATATTTTATTGAGTTTTGACCTATAATTGTTCTAAATTTTTTCATGTGAAGGCAATTTTGGAATCTTGTCTCATGTTCATGAAATATCAAATTTGGAGTAAAATAATTTTCAAATATGTCAAAAGGAAAGCCATCGGGGTTTGTTGTGTATTGATAAAGAAATTTTGCAACTTCAAGCTTATGTATGTCAAAAATATCTAGAAAATTGAGTTGTTTAAAAAGAGGTGGGCTATGTGCTAAAAAGTCAGAATTTGTGATTATTCTCACTGCACATTTTTTGTAACAAAAGCAATTTATTCAAAAAGGTTTTACATGCATTACCCCATATGATGTTGCAATAGTTCAATTGTGATAATATAAGTGAATTATAAATGGTAATCATGGTTTTTGTATTCAATTTATATTTAATCTTTCCCAGATTACCAATAATTTTAGATATTTTATGTATAACCTTATTTATGTGCTCATTCCATTTTAATTTACAATCAATTGTTACTCCCAGAAAATTTGTATGCATTACTCTTTCAAGAATATTACCCCCTATTTTTATATTAAAATCTTGATTTTCATCAATATTTAACTTTGATCCTGTAAATAGCATATAATTTGTCTTGTCTATATTCAAAGACAGTTTATTTGATTTGAACCATTCTAATGTCTTTTCCATTTCTAGATTTACATTTCTATATAGATCATGAAGGTTACACACGTTTTCTGATAAAGAATTTAAATCCAGACACACATACTCGTATCTCAGAAATCCTACAATAGTTGTGTTTTACAAAGTATGTTTTGAATATATTGCATTTCAATCGTTTCAATTGTTTGTTTCAATCAGTTCAATTGTTTCAATGCTTGCATCATTTCAAGCATTGCAATCTATTGGCCTTCGAATTGATTTAAACTTTCGCTGTTTGCGCCTGTTTCGCCGTTTCAAGCATTTCAAGTATTTCGCTCAGGCTTTTCAACCATTTCAATCGTTACGTCTTGGAAAATGAAATTACAGTTTCTCTGCTTGCGCTTGTTTTGCTGTTTCAAGCATTTCAATCAATTTGCCTGACGTTTTTTCACGTTCACTTTCATTTCAAGCAGTTCTGCCATTTTACTCCCTTTTTATCAACTTTTTATCACATAATTCAATCTTATCCTTGTATATTATATTTTATATGTAAACTATATTCATACTAAAATGTATTCTCTCATATAAATGAGGCAATAAATATACAATACAATACTTAGATATGAGTGAGGGGATCAAATCATGCACAATTCATCGAGTGATTGCCTTTAATTCATTTAATTCTTGTCTACAGCAACCTGAGGAGACTTCTCCATAGACAATTGCAGTCAATGTTTTTTTTCTAATTCCAAGCCAGGGCGACAGGATAATAAATGGCATTTAAAAAGATAATTGAATATAACTTTTCATACCACCTGATAGCCTTGCCCAAGTCGGTATTTTTTTGCTTATCTGATCTTGAATTATTACCACCTTGTACAATAGAATGAATCCCCGCAGATATTATGATAAGTTATTCAGCGGTTTAGAGATTTCCATAATTCCTACACTGTCAGCGAACTTTTCAATGTTACTTGTAATCTTCTCACCTATGGGTATGCAATTGATGCTCCGGCATCCACTAAGCTTTGATTGATATTTATCTGATAAAATATTTGTATTTTCATGATGAATTTGTGCAAGATTTGTTAGTGAAAAGTGTATTTGTTTTGACTGTGCATAATAATGAGCTAATGCTGCAGGGCCAACGTTGATTGGTCAAATTTACAGACATAAACATTGAGTCTGCAAAGCATGTGGCTTTCTCATTGGTACAAGGCGGTCATAATAGAAATCAAAATAAGTAAAAGAGACCAACTTGGGCAAGGCTAACCACCTGATAACAATGTGGGTATTTGTTATATTTGAAGTTAAAGAAGAGAAAAATTTCAGATGGCCAGCAGCATTTTTAATTACTTGCACATAAAAATACACATTTTTTTTGTATTTATTATCCAACTTTTTGATTTCATAGATATAGTTAAATCTAGAGACACTTGGATTTAAAACAAGTCACCGACATAATTAATTGGAACTAGTTTATGAAATCCAAGAAAAACATTTTTTAGCTGTAGTTCTTTATTATGAGAATAAAAATGGCTGCAACATGCAATATTTCCATCGGCTAATAAAACGTTGGTTTACTACAACTACAGACCAGAACATATAAAGTAATCATACCGCTATCATGAACACATAAAAAAGGGCTCACAAGGTCAGATTTTCAATTTACAAAAAAATTCAATTGGTGCCTCAGCTGGCTTTAGTCGGAAAAACAGGTATGACCAAATATTCTCTGGGCTCATCTTACATTGTCATTAGTCATGACCTGAGCATATTTGCTTTCAAGACTCAGAACAGATCAAGAAATCATGAAATACAATTATAAATTTGACCATAGTGAGTCTAATCAGCCTGATCTGACAAGTGAAAGTTTTCTCAAAAATTATAAAAATACTCACTTGTATGAATTGGATTGTTAAGGCACTTTTACCAACTCCACCTCCACCAACAACCACCAATTTGTAACTTTGGTTATAGTTATGCGATTCATTATTTCTTGACATTTTGAAATAATACTTTTATGGCTAAAAAGTACGAAATTGTCCACTTCCAAAGTTTTTTACTTTTTCATTTCAAAATGGCGGAAGTGACATACAGTTTCCGGGCCAAATCTAGGTCAACTTTTCGAACCTTGAATACGCTGTCGGCGGAGGATTGATAAAGCTATAGTTGGGTCCACAACACAGTTAGATATAGTAATTTCAGATTATACACAATTGGTAGTGAAAAATAAATGATTAAAGATGTATTCTACAAAAACAAATTAAATATCATGACGTCATCAGATTCAAGTAATGTGATTGGTTGCCTCGTATTGGCTACGAAATTTGAAAGAACAACGAGTTGTTGAAAACAGGATCGAAATTTGTCTCGGTAAATCAACAAATTTAGGTATGTGAGGGTTTTTTCTTATCATTATGTGTGAACACTTGAATGTACGATACGCATTTTATCTAATATTATATGAAACTTGCAAGATTTCATCAGAGTCACTTTGATTTCAAATATTTGAAATGGACCGAATTTCAAAAATTTTTTGTTTTTTTAATTTTTTCGAACTTTTTTCCTTTTTTATTCAAAAGTATATAAAGGCTACTTCTTTATTGATTGTATTAGTATATACTTTGTAGAATTGATATACTGAATTTTTGTTTAGCTCACAGACATGGATTAGTACAAGTGTCACATCTGTGTCGTTGAGTCCTGTTGATAATCTAGACCTAGACTTCAATTCAATGTAGGCTAGACTAGTCTATTTATTCTTGTCAATGTCAGTCAAATTAGAAAAATAAAATTTAGCTAGAGAGTGTCACTTTCATCCACTGTGACACTCACGAATGTATCCATCAAAAACTCTGATATTCCAACTCATCTGAGAGGTGCAGTCCATCTTTGTTCAGCTTGCCCAGTTGTGGCGTCAGCTCAGTCTTTATTGAGGTCGTCTAATAATCAGTTGTTTAGAAAGTCAAATATTAACCATGGGTAGTAATGCATGTATCAAACTCGAGAAAACTAAAGGGTAACCTTACTCCGAAGATATTGAGTAACACGCCTACCTATGCCTGGGAACATTCTAGGAAAAAATGAGTCTGAGGACTCATTTGACAAACTTTTTCTATTTTCTATTCCTGAGTCTATGACACCTACCCTTGTATCTTGAAGGAAAGTTGTGCGGAGGACTGATTGGGCCATTCATTATAGTCAAATCATAAATGTTTGTGAGTACTTTGAATTTAAAAAATAAGCAATCAAATGACCGAATTGAAACAGTTTATGTAAAAATAGAAACATTTATATTTATCCTAACTTTTGTATATTCTAGTTTGTTTTGTAGTTTAGCTATCATATCTCTGTGTCCTCTTATGTTTTGATACTTCTCTGCCATGTTATTTTCGGAAAAATTAACATGGCTGAAACTCCCTAAACTACAAAAGGCCACAGCTTTGCTGCACATTATACATTACTATCTGAAATATACAAAAGTTAGGATAAATATAAATGTTTATATTTTACATAAATTGTTTCAATTTGGTCATTTGATTGCTTATTTTTTAAATTCAAAGTACTCACAAACATTTATGATTTGACTATATATTTCAATATTCTAACTGACTGAATGTAGATCTAGTTCTTTGGGAGAAAAATGGTAGCATTCTCCTGAAACTAAATCCTATAGTTCTGACATTTTCTGAAAATTGGCTGAAAATGTCAGATAGTAAAAAGCTTTATCTTTTAAAATTTGTGTTAAAAAACATTTGTAATTGTTATTCAAAATAGTCAATGTATCATGTAGTAAATCAATTTGCATATTTGTCACTAGTACTTTCCCAGCTTTATTTCCACTAGAATATAGGCTGTGTTATACTTTAATTGCATCTTACTTACTACCCAACTTAAAGTGTTAGTAAGTAGTGTAGATGTGTTATAATGTGTACTTTTGTGTTTGTAATGCTTCTTCAAATTGATAATTTTGTGCATAAAATTTCACTGCAATTTCCTCAGGACAGTATATGTATAAGGTTGACAGACTTTTGTCAGTCTGTCAGACAGATATAGACTACATATTTCCCAATTCCTAAAATAGACATGCCGTCAGTGACCATGTAATTTGTCTCTCTTACAAAAGCATTTACTCTTGAATAAGGCAAAAGTTGTGAAATGTTGATCAAAATGTTATGGCAACACTGGAATTAGAGCTTATAAGTTATGATTGTTTATGTTTAACAGGTAAACATGGCACAGAACATCAAGACTAAAATTGGATATGGAATCTACCTGGCGGCTAAGGAGTGCATCAGTGAATTTGAGACAAATATGGCTGATCATTTCACATGGTTGAATGAGGTGTTGATTGAATCAAAACGATCATTTAGCAGGTAAGACATCACACCAAAATACAATGTATTTGTTATGTACTTAATAAACTTGCAAGCATTCATATATGAAATGGTTCTTATAAAAAAAGTAAACGAGACCTGAAAAATGGGAATGAATAAGTGCTCACATTTTAAGTTGTTAATCACATATTGCTTTTTTACTGCAAATTCTGATTGGAATGAATGTGATATGATTAAACTAGATGTGCTTCTTTAGAGCTATACACCATACTCAATCATTACTGTTAAATTGTGTCCAATTTCAATAACATCCTTGTTTTTTATTAACCAGTCAGTAAGTATTCTCAGCTTTCTTGCATGAAATTCTTAACTTATTTTTTGTTGGTGAATTTGCATCAAATCAACTATCAATTCTGACAGAGATTACCATTATTTTTGTTTCGTGTTTCGTGTTTTGTTTCGTGTTTTTTTTATATGAGATGCAACCATGAGTTTTGCAACAATGGTAACCTTAGTTGTTTGTCCTTCCTCCCTCCAGTTTCTGTATTTCCCCTGAAAATGATATTGATAAAGGCAGATAAGGATAATACAATGGCTTTGTGCAAGGCTTCGTTTTATTTGCATGAATTATAAAGTAGACCTTTTCTTTTTTGCTGTAAAATTGTTTGCCTTTTTTACTGAGTCATTTCAGCCAATTAAATTCATTTGTAAGTAGAATTCATTTGAATTATTATTATTATTATTAATGTTTTTATTATTCTTAAATCATAGTAATTTACAAAGTACAAGTAAGCAAGACCAATCGCCATTTGGCATTACAGGTCGCTTTAACATAAATATAGTTTAGAAGCAAGTAATAATAAAACAAAAAAAGTGCATAAAACTATTGAAAAGTTTTGTTGTTAATTGCTTAGTTGCTTAGTTGTTGGGGATATTTTGGTCCAGGAGGTTTGGGCAAGTTTTAGATTCTCAATGGGTAAATGTAACATGATCTAACAAAGTTGAGCACAATGTTAAGAAGTAAGTTTTGTGAATCACGGCTAAGGGTATTTTCATAGAGGAGATATTTGACTTGATCATTTCAGTTGGTGTAGATGTTCTCATCATAGAGAAGGTTGTTTTGTCTAAGTGCAGTAATCATGTTTGTCCTATCATCAGTATGGCGGGGGCAAGAAAGGAGAAAGTGCTTAGTATTTTCAGGGGATCCACATGGACACTTGTTGTCGGTTACACCAATAAAATTATGAGAGAAAAAGTGTTCTTTTAAAAAGAAATCGACACGAAGTCTGTTTAAAATCTTCTCATTTGACCTTGTTAAGTTTAGCTTGGTTGTTGGAATGAAATTTATGTTTGGGAGAATTGTTGACCGAACAGCATTTTTAAAACTAGAGATGGTTGGTAATTCTCTTATAAGTTGGCTAAGGTTGTTCCATTGTTTTATAATATTTAAGACAGGGGCTTTAAGGAGTCTGATAGAAACATTAGTTGGAATATTGTAAGGCATAGAATGTCTCAGTAGTCTGGTGGCTGGGTTTTTATATTTGTCAAATATGTCGCATATACAGGGTGACCGGAAAAAAAGGAGACCATTGAAGTAATCAATTTCTCCTAAACTAGACAAGTGCCATCAATGAAATTTTGCATACACTGGAACAGTTATATGGAAATTTGTTACTGAAGGTTTCAATACAAGCATTCAACTGGTTCAGGAGCTATGATCATTTACATAACATGCTCCAAATAGGCACATTTGAGACCAACGCAGAGTTGGATTCATATGGCAAACTACCCTTACATGTTCTGCCCTCTATGGCATTATTATGGCATTACATATAGCAGTGATTGCCTTCTTTAGGTCAACAATAGTCTGAGGATTGTTTTGGTATAGATTGTCTTTCAAATATCCATACAAAAAGAAATCAGCAGGATTCAAGTCTAGGCTGTAATGGCAATGAAGGGTTATCTGACATGTGGTTCATCATCCTGTTGCCAAAGTGCTGATTTACCCAATCTTAAGAGTCACTTTAGGTATTGGGCATAGTGCCATGTTACTAAAACCACTATATGGCACAATTAAATCCCATATGGAAACCAAGGGCTGCCAAAAACCTCCTTAGGATGATACTGTAACTGAGTGGGACCACTGAGTCAGAAGCCATAGGTCAGATAAGCTTCGTCTCCATACACCTCAAATTTGAATCCACCTGATTTCTTTTTGTGGGGCAATTTGAAAGACAATGTGTACCAAAACAATCCTGAGACAATTGCTGACCTAAAGGTGGCAATAAATGCTAAATGTAATGCCATAACAAGGTCGGAATATGTAAGGGTATTTGCCAAATGTATCCAGCTCTGCGTTGGTCTCAATTGCGCCTATTTGGAGCATGTTATGTAAATGATCATAGCTCCTGAACCAGTTGACTGCTTGTATTGACACTTTCAGGAACAAATTTCCATAGAACTGTCCTGATGTATGCAAAATTTCATTGATGTCACTAGTCTATTTTAGGAGATATTGCCTATTTCAATGGTCTCCTTTTTTTCCGGTCACCCTGTATATTGTGCTACATTTCTTTTGTTTATTTTGAACATAATCCGAACATTTTTTTCATTTCTCCTTTGACTAAGGGTTTTCCAGTTAAGGCATTGAAAAACTTTGGAGGTATCTGAGCCATGAAGAACACCTGCACATATTACACCTGCTTGATAGTGCAATTTGTCAAGTTTTGCTAATAGGGCTAATGAGGCAGACCCATACAAGGCACTGCAGTAGTCAAAATTTGATGCTACATAGGAGCTATACATTGTTTCAAGGTGTTTGGATCTTACACTATTTGACAGATACTTGAGTGGATTAAGGAGTTTTTGAACTTTCCGTGAAAGATAGTTAATATGGTCTTCATAAGTCAAATTTTCATCAAGGATAAATCCAAGATGTTTGTGTGAAGTTTTACATGGAATGACTTCTCCGTCAAAATAAAGTGGCGTTTTTTGGAAGTTTTTGATCCGGTTTGAGTGGAATATGACTTGGGCACTTTTGGAAGGTTTGAATTTAAGGAACCATTTCTTTGACCACAGATTAATTTTATTAAGATCATTTTGAATCTGATCTGTTTGAGCATTTGATGGATGAAAAAATGAATATAGAGATGTATCATCAGCATATATGTATGCTTCAGAGTCTAAGTTGTCTGGGAGGTCATTTATATAGATGAGGAACATGAGGGGGCCTATTACTGAGCCTTGAGGAACACCAGAGTTTATGAAGTTGTTGTCTGAGAATTTAGAATGTTGGTCATTGATTGATACACAAACTTTTCTATTCCTCAGGTAAGAATCACAAAGATCAATTGTTTTGCCGTTAATTCCATAAGATTTCATTTTGTGTATTAAGAGCGAATGCGGGACGGTATCAAACGCAGCCGAAATGTCGAGATATACCGAGTTAATACAGTTTCCTTGTTCCATTTGATGATAAATATAGTCAGTTATTGCTAAAAGTTGAAGTTCTGTGTTGTGGCCTGGGAGAAAACCTGACTGAAACTTGTATAAGAGGTCATTATCCATAAGGTGTTTCATGATTCTAGCATGGAGTACCTTTTCAAAAATTTTGGAGAAAGTGCTTAATAATGTTATCGGCCTATAGTTTTCAACGAATGACCGGTCAGATTTCTTATGAATTGGAGAAATATTTCCCAACTTCCAACAGTCAGGAAATTCTGACTTTTGGAAAATAAAGTTAAAAAGCGAAGAAAGTTGGATTGATAGAGTGGCTGAGGCAATTTTCACCATTCTGTTATTTATTCCATCAAGACCGCAAGCTTTGTCACGTTCAAGAGACTGTATGATTTTATTTATTTCATCAGGTGTTGTCGTAATATTGTCAATTTCTTGATTGCACCTTTTTGGAAAATTAGGAAAGACCATATCCCCATGAAGCTCATCATGGTGATATTTGCCAGAGAAAAGGTTCATGAAAAGGTTGGCTTTTTCAGTGTCAGATGTAGCAATAGAACATGAAGTTTCACTTCTGAGACAAGGGAGACAGTCATTGAATTTTTTGGAGAGAAATGAGTTTACAATATTCCAATATTGCTTGCCCTTACATGTGGACTCATTAAGTTGTTGGACTAATTTGTCCTCATGAGTTAATTTAGCTTCTTTAATAAGAGTCTTTACATGCTCTGCTTGATTGGCATAATTTTCAAAATGAACAGGGTCATCATTTGATTTTGACTTACGAAAAAGTTTTTCTTTTTTTCTGATCTCAAGTTTGATTTTTTTGTTAATCCATGGCTGGTCATTTGCCTTGGTTATGTAAGTTTTCTGCGGAATGTTATTGGAAAAAATGTCAAAAACATCGCGAGTAAAGTTTTCAGTAGTTAAGTTCACATTTTCATTGTTATTTATGAAAATGTCGGTCAAATCGATATCGCTGATATTTGAGTTTATTTTATCTACATCTCCAAGATCATAATTCCATATTGTTTTTTTAGTCACATGTTTTTTGTCTAGTTTAAGTGGAAGAGTGGTCAAAATTGTTGAATGATCAGTGTTTCCGATTGGATCAATGACTGATATTTCTTTAACCAGAAATGCTTTGTCTGTTATTGAAAGATCTATGCAAGTTCTTGAATTTCTAGTGATTCTAGTAGGTTCCTTGACTAATTGGAAAAGGTTAAGTTCTGTAAGTATGGTATCTAATTTTGCTCCTTTTGAATCAGTTGTTCCTTCATTCCACCACTTTTTATTTTTGCAATTAAAATCTCCATTTATGATCAAATAGTCACATTTAAATTTGGAGGCAAGTTTTAAGTTCTCTTTAAACTCTTCAAAATAAGCCGCTTCTTGGATTGCATTCATGCTAGGGGAGCGATAATGCACCCCATATAAAACAGATGTGTTTTTTAATTTAACATTTACCCACAGGCTATTTTCTGTGTTAAATTCAGGCTTTGGAATACATATGAGATCACTTTTTACATAGATCATAAGGCCTCTGCCCCCTGGATGATACATGGGGGTATGGTAATCTGGAATTGTATATTTGTCTGAGATAGTTTTTGAATTTAAATTACCAGCCTCACAAAGACCAGCTACAGAGATGTTTCTATCCCTTATTTTTAATTTGAGAGATTCAAACCTGGTGCCTTCATTACTTCCAATGCTATTGATGTTGGAGAAAAGGAATTTCATGTCGCTTTGTGCGGTCAATTCTGGGCCAGGATTTGTTTCAACATCTCCAGCTTGCAGTAATAGGTAACTCAGGTCTGGAATTTCAATGATTAGATTGGTTATCAATAAAAATAGTGCCAAAGTTTCACCAGTTTCCTGCAGATTAACTGAATATTTCAGCAGAAACAAACAAGGCTTACAAAGTAAAGTCATGAGTAATAAGAGTGAGTAAAGTAGAACAACCATAGCTAAAATTCTTGTTATTATCGAGTTGATGATTGGAATAAAACTTGCTGTTTGATAAAATTCTACCAAGGGATCAATGTGAATAGAAATTATGTACAGGAGGAGATACAGTAAGTTTATACTCTCATCAACATTTGCATTGGGTTTACCATAGCAGGTTCCAGTTCCCTTTTGTAGTGGTGTGTGTGTTGTATTAAAGTGTCCTATTCTTGCTCGCCATGAGTTGATGTCAACATCCATGATTAACCTATACCAGTTTTTACTGCACCAGACTGGAAAATATCAGTTGATTGAGAGAACATGTACATGTATATGGCAATTACCTTTAAGTCGTTTTTCATGAATATATGTGTTTTACTCTCCTGGACCAAAATCCCCCCCACTAAGCATAAAAGTGAAACAAGAACATAGGGAACTACCATCCTATATTCAAGTGCTGTGCGGTATAGACTCCAAAAAGAGGAATCCTCACTAAGACTTACATGAACAATAAACAAATAAAAACAAACACAAAATAAGACATATATATAGATAGTCTAGTAGATAGCCTATATGGGCTTAGTAATTTGCTCAGATTGGGATGAGGAACTATTTTTGTTTATCAGAGATCACATTTATTTAGTATTATAAAATATGACTATTTGTAAACTTATTTTGCAATGAGAATAATCTATAAGTGCTGTTATTGTGCACTGTACTGTCGTCAGCACTCACGCTTAAAAATGTAGAGCTGTAACATAAATAGAACAATAGAACAAAAATCACTAGTCGTCATCCCACATAGTGCAGTATTACCATACCTGTGACTGTGATAGTGAAATGATGTCCAAAAGAGTCAGTACCACTGCTCATTGGCTGTAGTTTGTGAAAATAGAAAGAAAAATTAAATTTGAAAAACTGTAGAGGCATGGCGGAAGTGACGTCAGAAATTTTCTCACGCGCCTCAGCTTTTGTTCAGAATGTAAACAAATAAGTGCACGGCAGGCACTATGTACAAATCACTTGTTTGCTTATTAGATAAATACAGACATCCATTATTTTTGAATGCTCTTAATGAGGACAAATCAATATGTCATTTTAAGTCACAAGCTAGAAATTTCCAGCTATTTTGGCTTCAGAAAATTCACATCTAAAAGCCGTAAGTTTCAAGATTTTACAGGAGCATACAGTGTATGTATATACTGTATAGTCCATTTCTAGGGCATTTTGTAAGATTGGTTCGTTAGAGATTCGGTCCAAGGGGAAGATCTCCTACGGTGTACTGTACAATACTGTCATTTCGGGCGAGTTTACCCAACACTTTTCCATTTACAGTCCAGGCTTGGGATATACCATCATGCTGTTTGAGCTCATAAAGAAGTTTCCTGTTTGCTGGAGTAAGGTCTTCATACACACGCAGATCAGATCCCTTAAGTGCCTTTTTCTGTCGGATAACAACGTCCTTTACGCCTCTGAATTTAAACTTCACCAATATCGGGCGTGGTTTTGAACGGTTAGAAATCTGAGGTTTGCCTCCTGGGACTCTATGAGCAACCTCGATGTCCCCAGGTGAAAAGTTTTGGATCTTAGTTTTGAGGTGTTCATAGACAACTTCTGCACAGTCTTCACGATTTTCAGAATTGTTTTCCGGGATACCAAACACACGTACGCTACTTTTTCGGGTTTGTTGGGCAGTATCGTTCATTGCAATAGTGAGTTCTTGCAACTTTACATTCACTGCTTTTATATCATCCTTAAGTTTCTTGTTTTCAGTTTCGATTTCGTTTAGTCTTTTGTCCGTTTTTTCACTCACTTCTACGACAGCTTTCTCAATCTCGCTTTTCATATCTGTGAAGTAGCGTTTGAACAAATTATCGAGATAGATTTTAGTGTCATTTGAGATGTCTCCTGAGGCATGTTGAATTCAAATATTCAAGCCTGAGATTTATAATAAATCACAATATGCATCCACAATATGTAGCATTTTACCAAAACAAACAATTAGTTCAATGTTTTTTTTGATTGATGTATTCTCCCTGGCAAATCTTTGTCATGTTTTAATTTTTTTTCGAAACATACTCTATTTTATTTAGCCCGGAGGTCCAGCTCCTGCCGAAGACCCCTAGTGCCAAGAGAAAGCGTGGCCGTAGAAAGAAAACTACAGATGACAACAGTAGTGAAGCTGAAGAGCCTCCATCCAAAAGATCAAGGTAAGATTAAGACATTGTTTTTCATAATTTTACTGGTCTGTAACCACAACGAGTCACTCATAATGGTACCGGTAGGTGGTTTAAAGCTACATGTAATATTTAGTCTATTTACAGATTTACATGGATGGGTTGTCTCACATCTAACGAAGCAAATTACATGTAGAATTTAGTCAGCGTAAAACTTAGACAGCCCCAAATCTACCCATTCACCAATGGCATATTGTATGCTTAGATGAAATGATTTTATTGGTAAAATAGCCTATTTCTAACAAATCTTCTTTACAATCCAATTTTCTGCAATATAATCAACTGTGTTGTTTTCAGCAGAATGTCAAGTGCTTGCATGAATTGAAAAATAAATTAAAGACTGTCAATAATCAATATTTATGTTCATGATTTTTCAGCCGTGCAAACACGAGGAAAAATGCTGCTTCAAACCAAGAAGAGGATAATGACACTGATACCTCTAATACCTCAACTACATCAAGAAATGGTAGCTCACGTGCTACCAGAAGCAGTGCACGTAATAAGAAAAAGGGAGAATCTGAAACTGAATCTGTTGGACCACCTCCTCTTATGTCTATAGTTAACAGTGTTGATATACCAGGGACTATTACTGAAGAATTAGAAGTTAAATCTCCTGTTCGTCAAGTTAAAATTGTTACACCAAATACAACTCCTAAGGTTGTAAGTGTTATCAGTTCCCCAAAAATAAGCAGCCCCAAAACCCACACCCCTAAAACAGTTGTGTCTGATTTTGCTCCATCCCCTTCAAAATTACGGAAACTGACCCCGCAGAAGGTGAATAGCCCTAAGAAGCAAGTTCAAGGATTTGGCTTACTGGCAAGTGTTCGAGAAAAAGCTAGTGCATACATGGGTATGGTTTTAGGAAATAAAACTGAACCTGGTCATAATACCCCAGTTAAAAAGACTCCTGTGGGGAAAGCAAAGACTCCCACAGCACAACAAACTATTATGCAGACCCCACCTACACATGTTCAACAACAAAGAATAACAGATACACCAAACTCTACCACTAATGACACAATACAATCTCCAGCAACTGTACAGACCTCCACCTTCAAATCAACTGCACAACTAACCTTATCAATAGAAAAATCCCCCAAAACAATAAGCAATACTGACGTTGTCCTCGAGTCAGATGATGAATCAACAGCAATTCCCAACCATACTCCAATTGCCAATATAAACCAAGAGACCCTTCCTCTTACCCCTGTAGTTGAAAGCCCTGCCCCAGAAATTCCCCCAACTGAGACTGAAGCACCACAAAGGAGACAGTCAAAGCGTTTGAGCAAACGGGCATCTCTACGATGTCCAAAGAAGAGCCTGTCTCAGAGAAGATCCAGTGTTTTAGTGATAAAGGCAAGGCAGACAGCCAGAGAATCCATGGCAAGAAGGCTGTCTGTGTCCTCCCATAGGAGTGAAGCAGAGGAACAAATGCAAGTGTCTGAAGAGGTGAGTTGTGCCACAAGAAATTGAACCTTGTAAAAAATCATGTATCCAGAAAAAATTGTTTGACTATTATTGACATCTTACCTGTGAATCAACCATGTCTTGAAAAGTTAGGATGTCATTGGCTGTTGTAAAATACAGGCTAGCATTTCATGACACCTACCTATCCCTTAAGTATCACAATGTAATGATTTTTAAACCTGTTTTAATGTTTTAACAAATGTGGTATGTCAACTTCTAGAGTACAGGAGCTGTTAGCACATCATCAGATGATGCCAAGGGTAGATCCACCAGATCCAAACTTAGAGTGAAGAAAACCACAGACAGCCAGGTGAGGGATTCTATTGACTATAATGATAATTTAAATGATTTAAATGATTATAGCCTATTATTGTTAAAGTGAACAAAATAGATAAATTATTTAATGGGATAAACCATCCAATATTAAAAGGCACCTAGTGATCCCTTTGGGATAGAGCCCATTCAAATGAATAATTATCCCCCAGTGACAATGTACTTGACAAAGCGTTATGTCACTGTAATGCCTACTGCTCCAGAAATTGGATTTATAATAGCATAAGAACACAACAGGCAGTTATATTTAGCATTACAACTTTTTTCAGACTGGACATTCATTTTTTAAAAGTGCTTATTTTCCACATTCATTATGTTGACAATGACATTAAACTGTTTTTTAGTCTGCGGATGTTCCCCTACCTGTCCGAAGCACCAGATCCAAAATGAGGCTGAACAAAGCAGCGCCACCTAGTTTACCAACCACATCCTCATCTGACGAGTGTTCAACTCCTAATGCCCCCACCCGTGTCACAAGATCTAAAATGAGGGCCCCACGGCCAAAACCCCAGACCCTGCCTGTTGATGAATCACCTAGTAGTACTGCTGGAGTTGGAGGTGAAATGTTCAGACCTCCTGAAGCAAGAGCAACAAGGTAATCATGTTATTGTTGAGGATGGGTAAAGAGATGTTTTCTTGATTTGAAGTTCTCTTATTAATACTAAAACATCTTGTAGGATGTTTCTCATAACTAGTTGTGAAATTAATTTTCTTTATTTTGCAATAATTTTATTTCATATACAATATTGTGTAATATGTACCTGTCTTATAGAAGCAATTATACAACAAAATAAATTATCGGAAATTATGATTTTGATTTGTTAATGTTTGCAAAATTTCTCAAAACAGTGAAGACCTCTATCTTCTATTATGGCTCTTTTCCTAATTAAAGCTAATGTTGTTTCTCATCTAGGTCAAAAATGAGGAAGAGACCCGCAGAATCTGAAAATGCAGTAAAACGACCAAAAAAGGTATAACATAAATTGCAAACATTGATTCTATTGCATTCTATTGATTGGTCTACTCACAATACTTATAAACCAGTTGTTCATTTTCTCGGCACAATTTTTCTAATTATTTCAAAATTTTTGAGCTCCTTTATATAACTTTAAAAGTCATATTGGTTAAATGCAAAAAACGTTTTACCAAATTAATGACACAGCTAATGCTGGTAACCTGATTCGGCCCTTATACCAATGTATTAAACAATGATTTTTTGTTTTCAGATGTCATCCGGGAGTAGTAAAGATGACAGTGGTAACTTGGATGATATGTTAGCTGACAATATGTCTCCTAAAGGAAATGACAGGTATTGCTATGCTATATTTAGAGTATCTTTTATTACAATTTTAGTGTATTTACTAAATTCTGTCATCTCTTCAGTCTCGTGTATTGCTTTGTGTAACTGCTAAATTACCAGCTCAGTACAATGATATGGAATTCCAACTGATTCTTTTATTTTTCAAGATTCACAAAAGTCAAAAATGGCTGATAGATAAGAATTTTTATCAAATATATTTTTTCAGTCAGACTCACAATGTTTTTATTAGAGAATAAACGGTATGTCTTTCTTTAGGTGATTATTTTCACTTTATTTTGATTTTTTTAGTGTGGACCTCAGTGATATCATAGACAAGACACCATCTCCTGAATGTCCTAGAAATAAGGTAAGAAACTATCCAAAGAGTGTCAATTAATTCTGATCACGGTTTGAGGATAAATCAATGATCATGTCATCTTATTGACTATATTTAATTATCTACAGACATGGTGAAATTATGACTTGCATAACATTTTTGTGGCTTTTAGGATTATATATAGCAGTTGAAATAAAAGTAAAGCTTGAAATAAAATCAAGCGATTTTTTAAGGAACTACAGGGCGTCCACAAAAAAAGTATACCCAACTTCAAAGCCAGGATACCAGAATTCTGAGAAATTTTTCAACAATTTAAAGGCTGCAGTTTAAGGCCTAGTTTATTCTCCATTAAATAGTACCTAGATCATTATGTAACTGTCATGGATGACTGAGCAATCAAGACTTTTATGAAAGGTGGTAAAATCAGCACTGTGCCAAGTTAGCATTCAAGTAGGATTGGCACAATGAATGTTTTTTCGTGTTCAAAACATTTTTAATGTTCAAATTCAAACTTGTTCCATGTTCTTCAACCTATTTGCATAATTTTCCATAACTTTTTATTGCTACCTCCCCCCGCGGGAATTGGATCCCAAGAGTCTCTTGAACAGCAATGGAACTTCTACTTGATGATATGCAGCCTTGAAGTCAATAGTATCCCCCATTGAAGTCAATACACCCTTGCTGAAATCCTCATTTTCTCACAAGAACTCAAGTTGATTGAGTCTCAACAAGTAGATTCATGTTGGACAGTATCCATTTTCAATAGTAAGAATAGGGATTCTTAAACAGTACACTGGACTCGCTTTTTGTTGGCTCTTCTGATCAGGTGTAAGTTGAACTATGTTTGCAGGTAAGTAAGTAAGCTTTTTGCCAAATCTTGATTTCATAAGAGAGCTACTCAGCCCCCAGTCCAGTTCATTATGAAAGTCCTGTCATTTAACATAATGTAACAGAAAAAGAATACTAAGCCAATCACACATCGATTGCCACACAGGAAGATAACTTGGCACAGTGCTAAATTTACCACCTATCAGAATGGTCATGATTGCTCAGTCATACGTGACAGTTACATAATGATCTAGGTACCATTTGATGGAGGACAAATAAGGCTTTTTGCTGTAGCCTTTGGATTTCAAAAAGATTGCTCAGGATTCTAGTAATTTGGTTTTGAAGTTGGGTATACTTTTTTGTGGATGCCCTGTAATTGTACATATAGATGTAGAAAATATTTTTGATGGTGTTTTATTTAAATATTTATTCTATTTTAGGTGGTGAGGCCCCATGTTAAATCTTTCCTGAATAACTTAAATAAGACCAAACCAGCCACGCCACAACACAATGTTAGCATTGTGAAATCTTTCCTTAAGAGGAACACACCCAAAAAAGTTAATAACAAGGTATGTCACAATTTCACATTCATGATTTTTTTCATGGAAAACAATTTCAGTCTTGCACTAACTCTTCAGAAAGGAGGTCCAATTTAACCTGGTCCTGCATACAAGTTAATCGTTCGCTTGTTACTGAGCTGGCTTATAAATAAAGTCACATCTGAGCATTTTTAGGCTTGTATACTGGACTTTATAAGGTTATTATATTGTGCAGATGAATAGTATAGAGGATTGCCACGATTTGAGGCATTTCTTTGGGTTACCTGTAAGTCTGATATTGACATCCAGTAGCAAGGGCATTTGTCATTGTGGTAGTCTTCTTCACATTTCAAAATTGGATTTTAAAATTGGAGTTATGAAAGATAAAAATGACTTGGATGAATCCAAAAAACCTTGACATATTCATGAACCCACATGTTTTTGTTTGTTTTTTTACTTTCAAAGCAAATATACACACCACAGTTACAAGATTTACTATTTTAACTAATTCAGCTGAAGAATCACATTGAATTAAAACATTGTATGTGTTGAAGACTATCAGACAATATGTTCAGTGTAGATGCATGCATATAATTTGAGGGTGATGTTGCACCCTGGGTTGTATTTGTTTTTTATGTAAGATTTAACAAATTATGTAAGATAGACTAGAGTAGATGTACTAAACTAACTTAAATTGTGCACAAGCTGAAAGTAAAAGCAGTCTCACTGAGGGAAATGTCACAGTAATCACTCCATACAATCAGAAAACACAAGGGCAACATTTGAAAGTACACTAAATTAGGTAAATGGCCCATGTAAATGAATGGAGAGCTTGGTGTATTTCTTTGGACGTTATATCAATTTAATTGGCTATTTCTGTTATAGTGATCGAAATGTTTCACTACAAGCTTGTGCTAAGTTCTTTAAATAAGACTTCCATTTCTTTTAATCAAATTAGTATCATGAAGCCAAATTTGATTGGATCTTTCCTTTAGCAGTTCAAAGGAGAATTTGTGATGTCATTACCAAACAAATGATGTGTAAGGTTATTTCTAGATTTTGATAATTTTATTTATTCCTCAAAACCCATTTTAGGCTTCATCGTGCTTATTGATTTTTACATATTTTTTATTTTCACAATTTTTATTTTTTTGGTGTTTAGGAGGAGTTTAATCAGGTAATTTTAGATTTGTCTTCTCTCTCTTTTAAAGTGGCTCAGTCTAACTCTGATCTCAAAATGTAGAATGAATACATCCATGTTTAACATAAAAGCTTGTAACCTATCAGTTGACTTTGATATATTACCAGGTACCTTCTTTTCTGTTCTGTAAATATAAAACTTTGAAGAAGCTCATCTAGTAACTAGTAAGCAGTAAGAGCAAGTAGAAAGGTTTATGGAAATTGCTTATATTCAGTCTATTGGATGGGGCATGGGGATGCTTTGGAAAGTATATGTACATGTTAGATCATTGCTGGAGACAGTGCCACCTTAAAAGAGACAATATGCTTTGGTTTGCCTTTTTCATATTTTTTTTTACAATTTTCCCAAGTCTCACCATACTTTGTTTCATTTATTACACTCAATATCTTACCTGTCTTTCTCTTTCTATAGATTTAGAGGCACTTTTTGTGTGATTTTATGATTTAATATTTTATAATTTATTGATTCTAAAATAGTGAATTCAACATTTTATACCTCTGAAGTATATGATCTGTTTATAAGAATTACTTTTTGTGCACCTATTAATTTTTTATTTCGTTTAAAGGCCCCATGCAAAGTTTGAAAATAAAAAAGCACTTCAAAATCAATTTTTTGATATATTGAAAAGTTTCACTTAACACTAGGGGTGGGACGGGTCGAAATGGCACGATTCGGGTCCGGGTCGGGTCGGGCCAGAGAAATCCGATTCGAGTTCCAACTCGGGTCGGGTTATATAGGCAAAAATTAAAAATCTTCAAAAAAAATAAAATTGGTTTTCATTTTAGCATTTTCATGCTTACCATGCTTATAGCCGTACTCCCGATGACACATCCGGGAAACGACATGGTCCTTTTTGATGGGATGGAACCCGAAATGCAGCCAAATTGGTGCCTTGAGAGAGGCTGGAGGATTTTTTAGGAGAAGAGATTTAGGCATGTTCTTTTTTGCTGAACAGGCATATATCTACGAACGACCGGCGCGTTTGCAACAACACACCCAACACTTACGATTATCAATAAATCAGTGATTTATCTCATAGTTTTCATACTAGAAACACTCTAAAGTATTTGAGTTGAAAAGAATTCGGATATAATCTGATAAAAAGCACAAATTTCAACAACTTTTATTTAAGATCTAAAAACAAATACCGAACACAAAAGCCTGTGGTCGTTCGTATATTAGACATTTAACGACCGTGTAGAACTTTCGTAACAGAACAAAAAAGTCAGAGTTTGTTCCCATTATTATCGTTTTACCTGTCATCTATTTGTATTCGGGGGGATAATAAACAATTGTTTACTCATAAAACATAGAAAATTTCTCACAGGGAATGACAACATACATTAATAATAAAGATAAAATAACGAACGTCATTTTATTTTCGTTCGTAAATTAATCACCAAAAAGAAAACAAAACAAGTCTGACGTAAGTTTATAATTTCTATTTTATTCCAATCATTACATACAAACAAGTAATGTTATTACATTAATAATACTCAGGACATTTCTAATATCTAATATAAACACATAGATGGGCTAGATCATGAAAGAAAGCCTTGAAATCTACAGTTTAGATACCAAAAATTGCCTGGAATTATAAACCGGACGTTATCATCATTTTCAACCCGAACGAGTCGACTCCTCAACTAGAGGAGTCGATTCGGGTCAACCCGAAGGCCTCAACCCGCGGGGAATCGACTCATCGGGTCATCGTCCCACCCCTACTTAACACATTTTGATAGCATTGAGTAAGACTATAATATAAGCAAAAGCGGTTTAAACTTTATATGGGGCCTTTAACAATATATCTATATCCTTTTCATGATGCATATTCTTTTGATAGGAAAAGGAGGATAAGAGGCGGAAGGAAATGGAGGACAAGGGGAGGAAAGATGAAGATAGGAAAAAGAGGATAGAAGAACAATTGAAGCAGCGAAGACAAGAACAGAAAAAGTATGAGACAACTTTTTTGTGTTTTTTGGGGTTTGGTGGTTGGTGTTTGGCATCTGTATGTTGAAATTAATAGGTGGTCAATAGTAATATACTCAGTCATTGGACCAGTTCTTCGTGCCTTCAGGGTAGTGATCGACACTCCTCAAAAGGTCCACTTAAGCTACCTTAAAATAGTCACTCCTTTAAAACAATGTCATACATAATTTTTGGTTATGCTAAACATTTTAGAAATATATTGTACATGAGTATTTGTTTTAAGGAAAAATGAAGAACGCCAAAAACGTGCAGCAGAATTACGTGAAATGCACCAGAAGAAAGAAGCTGAGTTGAAGAAGCGTACTATCGAGGCCAACAACAAATTAGCGCAGAAGACGAGAGAGGAAAGGCTTAAGGAAGACATGAAAGAAAAACAAAAACTAAGGTACAGAACTGAAAAAAATTTCAATACTAAAAACAATGAATGATTTGATGCTATGAATAGAAGTAATAAGGTAAAATAAGGTTTGTCTATTGATGTTTTAAAATCATCCCTTCAATGTTCTATTATAAACCATGAGTCAGATCTACTCTTTGCCTTTTGAAGTTTCTAAAGTGCTTGTTTCATTATATGATTACAGGGAAAAGAAAATGGCCGAAGTTGGGGAAAAGCGTAACAAGGAAGAAGAAATTAGATTACAAAAACTAAAAGACCAGGTAAATCTTAAATCTTCTCTTGAAAGCGATTTGAGATGGTTCCAAAGAGGCGACAATAATTCAAAAGATTTTAATTATTCATAATAATAGCTCCTTTTGGTAAATTAATTTCTTAATTGAATAAATTAAAGATACATCAATATTTATTTTCTGCGCATGAATAAATAAATAGAAAATCAAGCATACTTAGTTCAATAAAGCAAGCCACAATATTTCAATCATTGTTGCATTTACAGGAGGAAGAGCAGAAACGTCATGATGATATGATGAAGAGAAAGAAAGAGTACGAAGAGCAAGAAAGACAGAAGAAGGCAGCTGAGCAGAAGCGATTAGAGGAAGAAAGGTCAGTTTAGTTGTAAATAAATCAACATATTTTTGAACAGCAAATGACAGTTAGTATTTGTTTTAGCTAAACTTATTCTGTTCTGAGTTTTGTGCAATGTGCTTGTATTTCAGACAACAAGAAGTAGAAAGGGAGAGACAGCGGGAGATTCAAAGGATAAGGAAACAACAGGAGGACAAGGAGCGAGAGAGACAGAAAGCTAAGGAAGAAAGGTCAGTGTTTTTTTACTAATTTTAAAAAGATACCTTCTAACCATGCTTATCTTAAACATCTACGTTTGAGTTGGTTTCTATTTCTGTCACTATCAATTACCATCTACCACTGTGAAAGAGAATGTAATGGTCATTTATTGCAGTGTTATTCTTAACATATTTTAGGGAGAAGGAACTTGAGCGGCTTAGAGTCGAGAGAGAAAGGACAGAACTAGAGAGAGTACGAGAACGTGACAGACTAGCACGTGAACAGCTGGAAAGGGAACGAGAGGAGGTAAGAACTGTGCTGTGATTCGCCTGTGAATATATAAAATGAGTAGTAGAAGAGTGGATTAGTATTACACAGGATTTAATATAATCATTACTTTAAATTGAATAGTAATACCCAAATGTCAGGTAGTTTATTCATTTATGGGCCTACCTACAATACAATCAATGATAGAGTATTCAGCATAAAACTTCTATAGTGTCCACATAAAAGTGTACCTACAAATCAACTCCAGGCTAACTTAAGAATTATGTCAATTAACAGATATTTGACAAATAGCCTGCATCAATTTTTGTATTTTTATCCCACCGAACGAAGTTCGAGGGGGATATAGAGAAGCCGTCCGTCCGTCCGGGCGATAACTCCAATACTGGTTGACGGATTTGGTTCAAATTTTATAGGCTTATGCTTTATAAGTGTAGGACCTCTGCTCGAGATGGAATTTTCAATATGGCCGCTGAATTCAAAATGGCCGCCATTTATCGTAAAAAATGTAATCGTTGATTTCTCAAATACAAGTTGACGGATTTGGTTCAAATTTTATATGCTGATGCCTGGCGACAAAGGAATTTCGCACAAAAAGAGATTCTCAAGATGGCCGCTTAATTTCAAAATGGCGGCCATTTTTCGTAAAAATATGTAATCTTTGATAACTCAAATACCAGTGAACGGATTTGGTTCAAATTTTATATGATGATGCTTAGGGACGCAGTAGCTATGTTCGACAAAACTTTTTCAAGATGGCGGCTGAATTTTAAGATGGCGGCCAATTTTCGTAAAAAACGTAATCTTTGATAACTCATATACCAGTGAACGGATTTGGTTCAAATTTTATATGATGATGCCTAGTTCACAATGGTATAAACTAACTTTGTGCCAAATTTCATGCTTCTATCACAAAGTGCACAAACATTTCAACATTTACACTAGCTATAATATGCATAATATATTTTGTTCGGGTGGATTTGCTACTCCGTGGAGTTGCTGTTTTTCTAGTTTTTTACCAAGTTCAAATTACTTTGTAACTACAATGACTGACCATGGAAAATAATACTGGCACACTCTACAGAGTAAATGTGTTACTTTCATATGACTTCTGTTGTTTTGCAGGAGAGGAAGATGATAAAAGAAGCCCAGAAGAGCAAGAAGAAAGAGACTGAAGAAGAAGTTAGAATCAAAAATATGATTAATAAACATAACACAAGTTTACAGGTGGGCTTACTGGATTTTACCTCAAAGCAGCAACTTTTTCTTTCCAATAGTAAAATAACCTGATTAAAATTGTAGTGATTGTAGTGATGCTGTAACCATGTAAACTAATTCTTTATAATAACTAGAACATTGATATTTTGACCCAGTCTCTATTACACTTAGATGAAAATGACAGTATATAGAAAGCAATGATCTCCCCAGCATTAGGGCAATCAGATGCAACCTTACTTGGTGCCAGAACCTAACTGGGTGCCTCACCCTATTGTCAATTTGTATATTACTTGCCACCATGTTGAAAATCTGTGTGCACACGATGAGATATTTTGGGCAAAAAAGGTAAAATCAGGATTTTAGAACACTGGAAACGATATTGACATCAGCATGATTACCCCTGGGATATATAATCAAGATCCTGACCAAACCACCACATGTATGGACTACTAAGATTTTATGCATTATTCCAGGCCACCAGCAGTACATCAGGCAACACAAGCATGAACACTAGTGCAGCAGTACCTAACAATCTTAATGGTACCTTCAATAAATCAAAGTCCAACCTCAACACAACAGTAGAAACGTAAGCCATCATTCTTTTTATATGTTTCCAAATGTAAAGTTGCGAAGGCAGGCAATCTCGAGAAATAAATTCTATTATTTTTTAAATGGGCATTTTACATTGGGGTTAGTTTTTGATTAGACTGCCAAGCTGCATTGAATAGAAGGAATCTGTTTTTTGTTTGAAATGCTTCCTAAAATCAAAATGTTTATGCAGAATCAGAATGAACTATTACATTCAACAAGCCAGTTTCAGTGTAATTTAACATTCAATGTTTCAGATATGAAATCACACCAGTGAAGGAAAAGAAGAAATCGACCCAGGAAAACTATGGCCTGGATGACCTTAACTCTGATGATTCCACTGATGATGATGAAGCTCCTAAAAAGAAAATCCCTAGTTGGGCACAAGGTAAGGCAGCCCTTGCAAAATGTTCAGTCTGACGATGGGTTTGTTAAAAAACTGGAAATATGATTCATGAGCATATCGTCGCTTACTATATTGCCATATGATGAAATCAGAAATCTTGATTAATTTGAAAATCTAGATTAACAATGAATGATACATTCCAGAAACATGACCCTGATAACAGGATTTTCTGCAATGTTCTGCATGCTTATTTAAGTTACGATTAATAATGCTTTTTGTTTCAGGACCTGAAAACTGAAATATTCTTTCATACACTCTTATTTTATATGTTTTAATTTTCTCTCTTTAACTGAACAGGCTAGAAAAAATTCTTCCCACTAAACTTAAATAAATAAACATATATATCAATCCATAAAAATAATTCATAAATACACAACATTTTATTTTCAACTTTTAACAGTTAAAGAGAACCAGGCCAGTTTCTAGTCTATGAAGACATCTAATCATAATGCTTTTGATTGAATTTCAGGTGCCGCCTTGAAAGCTGCATTAATAAACCAACATTACCACCCTCCAAACATAGATGATATATTTGGTGATATATTTGTCATGCCAGACTTGTGTGTTATATTTAAAAAGCAGAAAGCTAGGTTCCATAAACGTACTAGCTCTGCAGTGTGGGACTCGCCTTTGTACAAACCAGCAGCGAAATTACAGTCATAACAACATGCATCACATAGCAATTGGCAATTTATATACATGTAAATATGTACAGATGTGTAATATAAGAACACTGAGTGACCTCCTGTGAGAAGTGAATGAACTGTGAATAGGGCTCTCCCCATTCTGTAATTTCTGAGGTGCAGCACCTCAATATCACAAAAATGCCTTTCCAATATTTCTATATGCTCCATCATAAGAAAACATAAAAATATTAAAATGTTGCATGTAAAATTACAAAATCTTAAAATATTGCACTAAATATTACAAAAACCTAAAATATTGAACAAAAAGTTACAAAATTTAAAAATGTCTTAAGCAGACAGCAAAATCCTCCACACAAAAAAACCTGGGGAGAGCACTGATGTATGCTATGATGACTAATCCGTCTAGTTGTATAAACTAAGACAATTTAAAAATAACTTTTATTAATTGAATGATTGTTTACAATGTAAGACCTTATTTATATATGAACACAAGTTAGACAAAGGCACGCATATATTGTATAAGTAGTTTTCTTGGTTGTAATACATTGCATGGACTTTATTATTTGCTTCGCAGGTGTTCAATGTTCATGCATGATATATTGTGATACTTTATCTCGAATTATCTGTATACAAACTATGGACCCGAATTGATGAACATTTATATTTTTGTGAACTAGAACATCTATTCTCTCGAATAAGACTATTTGAATGGTCAGTACTACTTCATCTGTGTAACTTGAATATCTAAGTTATATTTCATCATTTAAATCATTCAGGTTTATTTCACTAAATTGGTCATTTCTTTTGGCCAGACTAGAAATAAACACAAGTTGTAAAATTCAGAAGACAACAGTGAAAAATAAGATCCATTGGGAAGCTCAATTTACATGTAAATCAATATAAGAAAGATGTTCAACCAAAGAGGCATTCATTAATATAGGTTTCACTATATTAGTTCCTCATTTATATTTTAATGCTAAATGCATGGTTGAACCAAACGGCATTTAAAGTTTTCAAGACGGTACATGATTTCTGTATTACCAATCATGAAACTTCTGAAATTGGAGAACACCTTGTAATTGTAAATGAAAAGATCATTTTTATATTAAGTATCGATTATCAATATTTAGTTTTTTAGAATAATATTCCCAAAATCTACAAAGTGATGTATATTATATATAATATGTAGAAGAAATATAATGTCCAATGACAATAACATTTCATGTTTTTGTGATATTTTTTTGTTACTTTTATTTATAAATGTAGTCTATCTAATATGGTTTGAAAATGTCTTACCATCCACCGAAAAAGATGTTTCTTGAAAATAAAATTTTCAGTTTGATAAATATGTTTTTAAAGACCAAGTTTCTAAAATGGAAGCAAGTGTGAATTTTACCTTCATGATTTGGCAGTCATTTAAGTTTTTGATGAATCTTGAAATTGCAATTACATGAGAAAACTGAGAACCAAATTCTTGAGCAGATTTGTTTTGGGAAGTCATCTTGTCCTCTGCCATTTTAGAAGTTTTTCATTAAATAGTGTCATCAAGTCATGGACTGCATTATCTTCAAACTCCTGCACATTTTAGACTGGTACCACGTTCAAGAGCAAATTAACTTTTTTTGGGAAGCCATCTTGTTTTCTGGCAGTCATTTTTTGCAATTCAGTTTTTTTGATGAATCTTGTCATCACAATGGCAGAAAAATTGCTTAAAATTTCTTCACGTTTTTACACATGTTAGAGGGTAAAGTTCCAAAGGTGATTAACTTTTGGATCTTGTTTCCTGCAGCTATTTAGGAGTTTATTGATAAATTTCGTCATTGTCATTTCAGGAAAACTGATCATTGGATTTTCTTTATAACACAGGGTACCAAGTTTTACAATAGATTAACTTTTGGATGGCCATCTTGTTTCCTGTCAGCCATTCTAGAATTTTTTCGATAAGTCTTGACATCAACATTCCAGGAAGACAACTTATTGGAATTTCACATGTCATTAACTTATAGTTTGCTAATTGGTCATGTGATTTCTTTGCTGTCATTGTACCATGTACCATGTCAAGAGCAATTGATTTTCACTAATAGGAGTACAGGTTTAACCTTGAAACAATAGAAATCAAATTCATAGCATTAACACTAGGAAACGTGTCTTCTTATCGAGTGACAGTAATGCAAAATTTTGAGATTCATCAATATTGAGGTATTTCTATAAAAAAAATGACAGATGAACAAGTATGTATAAATATCAGACTGAAGTGTATTATGTTGCCTAGCAGTAACACTCATACTTTATTGTTCGATGTTTATGCCATGACCCTCAAAGAAATTAACTTTTACAAAAAATGTCCCATTTTTAGATCCTGTTTTGGTTTGGCTTTGACATATTTCTTAAAGTGAATACCTCATTCAGGGAAATTTTCTAAAATGTTGCCCATTCTCTCAGATTCTCATGAGTTCATGCACTTTGTATATAACATGAACCTTCTAAAGGTTGTATCATATCTCATAAAGATGTTTGAATGTAAAATCATTGTTTGCTGCAGAAAGGTGGCATATGTGTTTTGATTAAATACTTACCTCTCATTTGAAGAGCCTCGCTGAGGTTGTGCTCTTTCAAAGGGTTTGTATTGAAGCAATCAGTAGACTTATAAAAAAAGATTAGAAGGATGGAGTCTATCATGAATCTAGCTGTGATAGTTTTCCTTGCTGGACTTATAAATCTAAGTGAAGGTAAGTTCTCTGGATTTATTTATTGGATTAATACATTTTCACTTATATCATATTTTTAGGATCATTATAATTCTCATCTGTTAAAGGGTATATACAAACTGGAACTTTAGTTCAAAAATTATAATGAAAAAATTGGAAACTTTCATAATTGATGAGATACACTATTTTCAGGATTTAAAATTGAGTGATAGGAATTTATTCTGTTCTTAAAATGACGCTCAGGCGTGGCAATTTGTTTAGCCTTATGAGACATATTTTAAACATTTGAGCATTAGCAATCATACAAGAGCATGATACTTTTTGTACAAATTTTTGTGAAGTCCAATTTTAGTTTAAACGTAATTTCAAAACATTTTTCAACTGCGTAGCATGTGTAGATTTGTATAAAAATGTCTGAAAATATAAAAGTATTTTCAGATGGAATTTTAATGCATAATTTTTGTTGATTTTTAGGAACAAATAGTAGCCACATGATTTATGTAAAAACAGGGGATTTAGGCAATGGTACTGAAGGAGTTAGCATAGTGATTGATTCTAATACGTATCTTCTTGAATATGATGACCCTTCAAGATCACCTTTCACTGGTAATGGGTAGGTTAATCATTTTCCTCACAATTTGTCTAACATTTGTCTGTCCTGCAATGAAACTGTATAATAGATTGACTGATGGTAAGGCTATAGAGAATTATACCAACAGTTAGGGCCAGATCTGCCCCCCCCTATGATCTCGGAAAAGACCAGTCATAGGAGAATGTATTAGGTATCATTGGAAAGCTTATTGCCAGTATTTTCAGCTTAGTTATAATTAGAGCCATTATTGATGAAGAAATTCATATTATAAGAACATAGGGGTTTATTTTAAACTTTCCTTCTAGGAGGGTTAGAGTCATGATTTTCTAAAATATGCCTAATTCAATTTTAAGAAAAGCCAGAAAGTGTCAGATAAAAAGACAAACTACGAAAAAAGTTATCAAAAGAATCCTCAGGGGGGGGGGGCAGATCTGCCTTCCCTAACCATTTATGGGTTAAGGCATTTTGGCTCTAGGATTAAGTGACCATTCTTGTAATTCCTTCCTCAAATCTTGTTAGTGAAGTATGTAGTCCATTGCGAAACATTTACAATTGACATTTGACGAAAGTTATGTAATCTTGCTCTTACTCTGTCATTCTATCCTTGCATCAAAGAAACACTGGTTTATTTATTAAATTACAAGGGTGTTTCACTTCTATATTTCATATCTGTTTTCAGCACTGATAGTTTTGAAATAGATGGCCCAGATATTGATGTTGAGCTCATAGATCACATTGATGTTTTGTTAGAGCCATGTGCCCAAGTAACTCAATACCAAGGAAACACCGGAAGTTGGAATTTAATCAAGGTAATTTGTTAGTTTTTTCTTAAATAAAAAATTTGAGATGTACTTTGTTGCATCATGAGTGATTATAGATTTAGGGGCTTGGGTAATAGTGGTGTTTTCTAAACAATTAAGCACCAGAGTTTGTCTTTGAAAAGAGCACATTCTTTCAATGAAATGCATACAAAAATACACTGATCAAGGAAAATATACAGAAGAAACATTTTTTTCGAGGCACATTTAGGAATATATTTTTTCAAGCCAACCACACACAAGAACACAAAGTTTCAATGAAACACAACATATAAAAGAACACATGTTTCCAACACAGTTTTTATTTTATTTTTCAATCTTATTAATCAACTTGTTTTGCATTTTAAAACTGCTGCATTCTCCCATTATGATATTTATCTGAAAAGAGTCCAATTTGAGGAGTTTCCTGTCTTGATTGTTCTATGTCTGCCCAGGAAAAAAAGGATTATTCCACTCAGGTAATGTCAATATCAAATTTCAGTCCTTAAAAGCTTTTTAACAAAAATCGAATCACAGACAATTGGTTAATTTGATTGACCAGACTTAATTACTTTTTCACATTTCAGCAGTTAAAGTACACAGTAAAACTTGTGTACAATGAACACCTATGGAGCCACAAAAATGTGTTCATTGTAGGCAGGTGTTTATTACAGAGAGTGTAATTTATGCAGAAGTCAGTAGAGTATGTGCGAAAGAAGGGTGTTTGGTCTGTTTACTAGAACCAGAACAGGTGTTCACTAGAGAGAGGTGTTCACTAAGATGGGTTTTACTGTTATATGTATTTACATCCTCTTTGCACTCAATATCTTGAGCTGATAACATAAACAATCAGACATTTGTAGGAAGAATACAATGAATAAGAAAGGTTTTGTTTGATGCTCAAGTAATATTGTTGGCAGCCCAGAGTTCATTCACATGATTCACATTGTGTATGTAAAGGACGATTCTTGGTTTGGAGAACGAAGTTCATCAATCTAAATGAGCATTATCCCTGCTTCGGACTTTGATTTCTTTACATAATATAGATTTGAATGTCTTCTTTTGAATAGTCATAATTTAATCTGGGAAATATTTCTAGATTTTTCGCAAAAATAATATTAGCGCAGTACACTGATGAACTTCTTTCCCCAAATCTAGACTTGTATTTTATTGATTCGGTCAATTTGAGCCATATCCCTGCTTCAGACCAATTTGTTATTTTTACATCTTGTAGATTTAAATGTCCTCTTTTGAATATTTATAGTTTAATTAGGATAATATTTCTATATTTTTCATTAAAAAAATTATTAGCCCAGGAGACTGTTCTCCAAACCGAGAATCGTCTTTTAAATGAATATTAGACCAACATGAACTTCATGTTTGCTTCTTGTTATCTTATATATGTGATCCAAAAAAGGAGATAAACCAAGGTATGTGATCCAAAAATGGAGATAAACCAAGATATGTGATCCAAAAATGGAGATAAACCAAGATTTGTGATCCAAAAATGGAGATAAACGAGGATTTGTGATCCAAAAAAGATATAAACCAAGAAAGACTTAAATTACAAGAATATAAATTTATAGAAATAGCATCCCGTGCCTAAAACTTAAAGGAATTTGTAGTTTTGATTTGGGTTAGATAAAAATCACTATCCCTTGCCTTGTAAATCTTGAATATTTTATGTATAAACAATGAATAAAACCAAATATGATCTGGGTATAAACATGTTCACTAGTGGCCCTTATCAGTGTGATCTATTAACAGAACAAATAAATTGATTTTTCTATACTTTATTGTGTAAACATCCTTTTCCTTCAAATCTTCAACTGACGTGATATAAACTAGCGCCTGGATGCTTTATCAGGACCATCCAATCTAACATACTGAAACAATGGGTAGACCATTGCATTTTACAAGTAGACCAATCAATCTGTCATGAAATAATGGGTAGACCATTGTATTTTACAAGTAGACCAATCAATCTGTCATGCTGAAAGAATGGGTAGACCATTGTATTTTACATGTAGACCAATCAATCTGTCATACTGAAACAATGGGTAGACCATTGCATTTTACAAGTAGACCAATCAATCTGTCATACTGAAACTATGGGTAGACCATTGTATTTTACAAGTAGACCAATCCATCTATCATGCTGAAACAATGGGTAGACCATTGTATTTTACATGTAGACCAATCATTCTGACATATTGAAACAATGGGTAGACCATTGTATTTTACAAGTAGACCAATCAGTCTGTCATGCTGAAACAATGGGTAGACCATTGTATTTTACATGTAGACCAATCAATCTGACATATTGAAACAATGGGTAGACCATTGTATTTTACAAGTAGACCAATCAATCTGTCATACTGAAACAATGGGTAGACCATTGTATTTTACAAGTAGACCAATCAGTCTGTCATGCTGAAACAATGGGTAGACCATTGTATTTTACAAGAAGACCAATCAATCTGTCATGCTGAAACAATGGGTAGACCAGTGGATTTTACAAGTAGACCAATCAATCTGACATATTGAAACAATGGGTAGACCATTGTATTTTACATGTAGACCAATCAATCTGTCATGCTGAAACAATGGGTAGACCATTGTATTTTACAAGTAGACCAATCAATCTGTCATACTGAAACAATGGGTAGACCATTGTATTTTACAAGTAGACCAATCAATCTGTCATGCTGAAACAATGGGTAGACCATTGTATTTTACAAGTAGACCAATCAATCTGTCATGCTGAAACAATGGGTAGACCATTGTATTTTACAAGTAGACCAGTCCATCTGTCATACTGAAACAATGGGTAGACCATTGTATTTTACATGAAGACCAATCAATCTGTCATGCTGAAACAATGAGTAGACCATTGTGTTTTACAAGTAGACCTGGTGAATCAATCGGTCATGCTGAAACAATGGGTAGACCATTGTATTTTACAAGTAGACCTGGTGAATCAATCGGTCATGCTGAAACAATGGGTAGACCATTTGATTTTACAAGTAGACCAATCAATCTGTCATGCTGAAACAATGGGTAAACCATTGTATTTTACAAGTAGACCAATCAATCTGTCATACTGAAACAATGGGTAGACCATTGTATTTTACAAGTAGACCATTCAATCTGTCATGCTGAAACAATGGGTAGACCATTGTATTTTACAATTAGACCAATCAATCTGACATATTGAAACAATGGGTAGACCATTGTATTTTACAAGTAGACCAATCAATCTGACATATTGAAACAATGGGTAGACCATTGTATTTTACAATTAGACCTGGTGAATCAATCGGTCATGCTGAAACAATGGGTAGACCATTGTATTTTACAAGTAGACCTGGTGAATCAATCGGTCATGCTGAAACAATGGGTAGACCATTTGATTTTACAAGTAGACTAATCAATCTGTCATGCTGAAACAATGGGTAAACCATTGTATTTTACAAGTAGACCAATCAATCTGTCATACTGAAACAATGGGTAGACCATTGTATTTTACAAGTAGACCATTCAATCTGTCATGCTGAAACAATGGGTAGACCATTGTATTTTACAATTAGACCAATCAATCTGACATATTGAAACAATGGGTAGACCATTGTGTTTTACAAGTAGACCAATCAATCTGTCATGCTGAAACAATGGGTAAACCATTGTATTTTACAAGTAGACCAATCAATCTGTCATACTGAAACAATGGGTAGACCATTGTATTTTACAAGTAGACCATTCAATCTGTCATGCTGAAACAATGGGTAGACCATTGTATTTTACAATTAGACCAATCAATCTGACATATTGAAACAATGGGTAGACCATTGTATTTTACAAGTAGACCAATCAATCTGACATATTGAAACAATGGGTAGACCATTGTATTTTACAATTAGACCAATCAATCTGACATATTGAAACAATGGGTAGACCATTGTATTTTACAAGTAGACCAATCAATCTGTCATGCTGAAACAATGGGTAGACCATTGTATTTTACAAGTAGATCAATCAATCTGTCATGCTGAAACAATGGGTAGACCATTGTATTTTACAAGTAGACCAATCAATCTGTCATGCTGAAACAATGGGTAGACCATTGTATTTAACATATAGACCAATCAATTTGTCATGCTGAAACAATGGGTAGACCATTGCATTTTACAAGTAGACAAATCAATCTGACATACTGAAACAATGGGTAGACCATTGTATTTTACATGTAGAACAATCAATCTGTCATGCTGAAACAATGGGTAGACCATTGTATTTTACAAGTAGAACAATCAATCTGTCATGCTGAAACAATGGGTAGACCATTGTATTTTGCAAGTAGACCAATCAATCTGTCATGCTGAAACAATATGTAGACCATTGTATCTTACACGTAGAGCACAACTTTTTATCTTTCATAGGAAAGTTTTCACAACAACTGGACCCAGACTTGTTGGTCCATCAGTATATAAAAGTTACCTCACTGATTGCTGAGTAAGCTCAAAATTCTTTAGACAGCACTGATTAAATGACAACAATCGAATGATTAGAAAATGTGAAGTGTTGGAAGCAACCTTCAAAAAGCACCCTAAATTTTCCCTCACAATCCTAATTTTAGTTTTTGAAAAAAGAATTGAAACAGCTTGTCAATTATAGAAGTTATTGTCGCGCGCCAGACTCCCGCCGAGTACCTGTACTCCCTCGGAGAAGGTCTGGTGGCGATGATAAGGGATTCGGAGGTGTTTATCACGGGCGCCGAGCTTGTTTGGTGCTTCGGCTGTCACTGAGCTAGGAGATGGAGAACACAGGAATATACAAAACAATCAATTACAGGATTTTTAACAATCTATTCAACACAATAATCACAATAAATTTCAAAGTGTCCTTTAATAAAGCCTTTATGGCCAATAACTCAAATGCAAATGTCTCTATATATACAAGGGTCCAAAACACTCTGGCTCTGAGTTATCTGTCTCTACTCTAATCTGCAATAC